AATTGCAATTGCAATAGCAATAAAGCAATAGCAATAGCAATAAAAATAGGTTAATAGCAAATTAAGCTTTGAAACCCTAAACTGATTTAGCAGCCCTGCACTATGACTACTACCACCCCAATATGTCATAAACTAGTTATCTTCCTGGAGTTGGTAAGTACCAGGGACAATGCTTGGATGAGATGATTGGACAGTGGCATCGAAGCTACCAACATGAATTTGACCAAACTCCGGGAGGCAGCGGAAGACAGGAGATCCTGGAGTGCTCTGGTCCATGAGGACACAAAGAGTTGGACATGACTTAATGACTAAACAACAGCAACAACCAGGGACAATGCTTATTCCGTGGGGACCCTATATCTTGCCCTCCCCAGAATGAGTGTATGGTTCTTTCTTTGCCAGAAGATTTTAAAGGCTGATTGAGTCCAGTCTGCATTAATTGATTTTCATATGCTGTGCTTTTACCTACATTCAGTACAACTGATGTAGACAGGAGTAAATATCTGCTCCTGTTTAGTTTTTTTTTAATTTTCATGAGTTAAGTGTTGAATATAATTTTTAAAGATGTCATTATATACATTATATGTTAAATAAATCTTCAGTATGCTTTATAAACCCTTCCCCCATAGACTGTAAGTCTGTTAAATTAAATAAACAGGAATATACATAGATCTAAGGAAGTCTCCCTGAGTAAGGCTTGAGTTCACCTTGTCCGGCCACCAGCCATAACACAAAGACTTGCAATGCACAGTGAAGGCAGAAAGATGCAAAACAGTGTTTGTTTGAGAAAAACACACAGAGACAAGTCATTTGGGAAGAGCAAACACACAGTCATTCTATGACAAAGACAGACATACGCACAAAGGCACACTCTGTTGTCCTCTGCAGAAGAACACACAAATACAATGCAAATTTTGGACTGATGGCAGGAAGAACTTGTCTTTCTCCTCATCCCATCCCTACCCCCACCTCCATTCCTCCAACATACACAGAGAAAACTAAGCGTCTTCTCTCGAAGGTTAGAAGTACAGCACCTACCTAGGGATAAAAAGGAACTCCTCTCAGTGTATGTAAATGTTAAAAACCCATCAGGGAGGCTAGGGAACTTTCCTTTTCAAAGTTTATTAAAAACCACCAGACCCAGTAGGGCTACTCAGTAAGAAAATTAATCCAGATTTTAGCAAGCCACACACAAAGAGTTCTCAGTTGTCACAATCCAGCCTGGCGGAGGCTGAGGCCCTGGCCTTATTCTCACATCTGGATCGGATTAGACTTTCTAGCTTCTGGCTGGCTGAAAGCCTATGTCCCTCCCTCCCTCCATTTCTGCCCTAGCTTTGCCTGAGTGGGCCGGGCAGTTGTGAATTCCAAGAAAGAGGCAGACTCAGCACCTTCTTGAGTGGACTGAGGCAGATCCAGGAGGGGCACTGACAGCTCCCTCTGTGTCACTTCTGTACGTGAAGACCCAGGCCAAGAAGAGGGGACGTTGTGTCATGGAGGTCTGGACTCTGATGCAGCTGCTGCTCCTGCTGGCGGGGGCCGTTCAGGGACAGAAGGATGAGCTGACCTCCGAGGAAGAAAGGAAAGCTCTGATGCTCAAGGTGAGAGAGAGAGCTCCACTTTCCCCCTTAATCTATACAAAAGAGGTTCCTGTCTGTGCTTGCTGGGGGATTCTGGGAGTTGTTGTCCAAAATGAGGCACTCTCTCCAGCTCTGCTCTTAACAGAAGAGACTGCCAGAATCAATTTGAGGGTTGCCTGCCAAATGTGAAGCAGCGTCTGTGTCTGACCATAGTGGCTGGGGAATTCTAGAAGCTGTCATCCAAAAAAAGGAACTTTTCCAGTCTCTGAGTCTCACCATGTCAGGCAGCTAGATTCTATGGATAGAAGAGGCAGCTGCTTGAGGCAGGCTCAGGACCGTTCCAGGGTGTGGAAGTCTGAGACCTCATTCTGCTTCTGGAGTGGCCAGCTGGCCCTCTGTACAAAAGGAGATTGGGACCCAGAAAGTCCACCAGCACATCACAAGGAATTTCCTGCAGACCCTGGAAAAATTCCTGTTTTGGAGCATAGTTCCCCAAAACCCTCCACCGAGAAGGATTCTGGAAACTGCAGAGTTAGGAAATTCTAATCTACATCTTAGACTTCCTTCTCTTATATCCTACTGCCTCTCTATAGGATTGTCTGTGTTATTTCAATCATATATTAAAGTGTGTTGTTGAAAAATAATTTTTATTACTTCAAAGTGTGGTATACTAGCTCTTTTGTATGCAGATATCCTCCTGCCCCGATTCACCATGTTTCTAGTAAGAAACTACCACAATGTCCCGTCCCGTCCCATCCTAGACTCTCCTACACAAGCTTCTTCTCTTTTCTATCTACACAGTAACTCCTGGTTGCTAACATTCCAACCACTGGGATTCACTCCACACTCACAGAATTTGGCAGTCCTCCTCCACAGCCTCCTATTTATTTCCTTGATTACAACAATTATACTGTAGTCCACAGGACTAACTTCCTTCTACGTAATCCTGACAGCAACCCTGCAAAGTAGGTAAGGCAGAGAGAGAGAGAGAGAAAGAGAGAGAGAGAGAGAGAGAGAGGCCCAAAGTGAACCAGTGACTTTCATTGCTGGAAGGGTCTTGACGCTGAATACTCCAAGTCTCAGTTTAGCAAAAACACAATACTGGCTTTAGCACCCTTGGACCCAGGACCCAGCAGGACCCATGATATATTGCTTGTGACTGGCTCTCCTTAAGTCAATCCACCTCGACATTCCAAACTCCAAGGAGCACTCCTGGCTGGGACTGGTTTCTATTTTAATTTCCTGCTGTGTCCTAATTGTTGGAGTTTTTATAACCTTGCATGCTGATCTGTAGTTTGTTTGGCTGAGAGGGCGCTTGTGGGGTTAACAATCGCCCCAGCATGAACCAATCATTCCTTCCTGCCACTGAATTCAAAGAGAGTCCTGTCTCTCTTGCTCAGTGATCGTTCCCTCTCTTTAATCTGTTCAGGTCTGTTCCTTGATGTTTGTTAATTTGCTGCTGATCTGTTCACAACTGTCAGTAATGAAACGTTTTTATTCTTTCTCCTACTAATGTCTCAGAGTGAGTTATTGAGACTGTAGGTGTCAGTTAATGAGCAAAATTAACTGACCACTCTGGGGAACGTGAAGCTCTTCTCCTCTGTGAATTCCTGAATTTCTGCCGTGCAGTGAGAGGAATTAACAAAAAATTGAAAACCTTTGGTCTAGATGGGTGGGATAGAAATCCAATAAATAAATAAATACTGTAAATAAATAAAACATTACAGCACTAATAACCTCTGGAGCATTAGACAAGACATAGGTGCTCCTGGTCAGTTGAAAGGCAGATCAAGGAATAAGGATGCAGCCAGTTCAGGATGGAAATACATTCCCTCTGAAAACCCAGGTGAGAATCTACTCTCCTTCCATTACTGTGTCCCCCTGCAACTGTGATGTGCCATCTCCCACTGCCCCTATCTGCTGTGGCCCAAGTACACCCAAGATCTTTTGGCACCCTAATAGTAAAAAGAGAGACCCAGTGTTTCTTTCAATGCTCTGTCCATTTTTATAAGCTGCCCATCAGTTTATACAAAAATGTTTTCGAGTTTCATTTAGTGAACAACAGATAAATAGTGGTGTATGTCTTGCTTGAGAAAACTGGGTTTTGGTTTTATGATGGGATGCAGAATCTTGGACAGAACAGTGGGATTTTTGTTGTAATAGAAGATACGGAAGACTGGGAACCACAGCTGTGGGGCATTTTGGGATATTTATGTTGTGGCTGGACCCAGCAGGGCAGCGGTACTGCTATTGCCTCCTACCACATCCAGGCATGTCCATCAGGGTCAACTCACGGATTGGGTCTGGGAGCCAAGAAAGAGGACCTTTCCCAAGCTCCAAATCTTGTCTGGAGCTGAGCTGACCTGAACTCTATGGAAACGATAGGCCATTCTGGCTGGGGGTGGGGGGGCTTCTGGGTGTTGTAGTTTTAAAAAATCTAATCTATGAAGCTCCAGAAAAAACAGTGTTTCTGCTAATTCTATTCCTCAACCCTTGAGACTGACCACAAAGAAAGGCAGAGATAGGAGTGGTGAAGACCTGGCAAGAGTTTGTGGAAAGTGTGTGTAAATATTTATGTTATGGAATCAGGAATCTTATTAGTCCCAGTTTCTTTTGTTTTTCAACTACAGAAATTTGTGTGGGACAAAAAGCTAAAAGTAGAGGCGGTATTAAAAAAAATAATGCACACGTAACAACCCAATAAAGCAAATCAACTGCAGACAATTGTTGCGGCTTGAACCATATTTCTGCGACCACTTTCCTCCCTTAACATTTTCCCTCTCTTCAAAAGCTAAAAAAGAAGAACAAATTCTCCTTTGATGCCGATGGAATTTTTCTGACTCTTTTCAGTTCACATGGGGTGCAATTTATAGAGAAAAAACAGCTGTGGGAGAAGGTTTAAGCACACGGTGGCCCCAATAGGGATCGAATCCAAAAAAGGAATTTTGCCAAGGTCTGAATCTGGGTAAACAAAACTTAGAGTTACATCAATAGCAATTACTCTGGTTACTAAAGTCTATGTCACCTTTGCTCTTTCTTTTTAAATTTCTCCCAATAACTGCTTCGCAGGGCAGGCTTGAACGGCTTGTTAAGACCCATTAAATTCAGTGTACAATCGGCAAAAGTTTGGAAAAGCTGCTTCAGGGGACTATAACTTCTGCGATCCTCAAGTGGAGAATGATAGTCCAAATTTTGAAAATGTGTAATAGTGTTAAAAACAAAGGAACAGTGAGAAGCATATAAACAAGCCCCTAGAAATTGCCCAGGGAACACATTAGATGCTTTAACAATTGCATTTGTCAAGAAAGAAAACATTAAATACAGAATCAGGGCCAGAAAACAAACAAAAATGCAAATACAAGCTAAATACATATTCAGCTTTAAAAAGTCGGATGTTTAATAATCCAAATCCAGGCTTTGTTCCAGATTTCAGCTACAACAACAAAACATCCACGCATCTGGTCAGCTGGCAATTGAGCCAAAGATAAAAAAAAGATTTGTTCCAATCAAAACTTCATTTTAAAAATAGGAAAAACATGAGGGTGGTGTGTTTTTGACATCGTAACAGGAGCGAGGTCAGCTATTTGCTATTATTCTGTCCTACATCTTTGAGGCTGTCTTGAAAACAGAGATTTTTTTAAAAAAAATGAATTTTAACTCACCAGTTAGTTTCTCAGTCAGCCAATGGCCACGCCAGGTGGGGGATTCTGGGAGCTGTAGTTCAAAAAGAATGTTTCCAAGCAGTGTACAAAACAGGTGAGTTTCAGGTAGATGCCTCACATGTCAATGTGCTTAGTCACAAAGAATATACTGCTGTCTTATGCACACCCCTCTGCAAGTACGCCCTGTTGAAATTAAATTGACTTCTGAGTTAGACATGCATTTCTGTGGTAACAGTAGCTTGAGTACAATGGCTCGCATGTCAATGTGCTTAGTCACAAAGAATATGCGGCTGTCTTATGCACACCCCTCTGCAGGTAAGCCCTGTTGAAATGAAATTGACTTCTGAGTTAGACATGTATTTCTGTGGTAACAGTAGCTTTGAGTACAATGGCTCCAGAATTAGGGAATCCATGCTGGAAGGGAAGGAACTCAAAAAGCTCAGGCAAAGTGTTAAAGGTAAAGAAAAGCGATTATTAAAACGAAATAGTTGAAGTCATCATAACAAGTGAAACCTACCTAAATCTTGGTGGAGTTTTTGCATCCTCACATGCTGCCTCTACTAGGTATGGCTCGGAGGAACCTTTCTAGGCTGGGGTAACTGCCAATGTATCCAGCACTGACCACCAGTTCCCTCATGACTCAGATTTCAAAGAGAGTGGACCCTCTCTGCTCAGGGTCTCTCCCCCTCCCCCCCCCATTGTCTGTCAACAGCAGTTTGTCCATTGAGGCCTTTTGCTCAAAGCAGTCAGCCATACTGTTAGCTTGCTGTAGATCTGTTCAACTGTAAGTAAATGAAACACTTTTAGTCTTTCTCCAGCTAATGTCTCAGAGTGAGTTACTGAGACTTTTAAGTTCCAGTTTATGAGAAAAGGGGGTGGACTCCTCTGGGAAACTTGAAGCTAATTTTGCTGTGTCAACCCCTGCACTTCTGCTTCATAGCCAGAGGAATTTAACCAAAATTCAAAACTCTGCAATAAATCTATCCTGTTTGCCTGACCAAATCTAGTTTATACACTAGCAGTTTAGAGAGTTTATTTTATAGGTGATTGACATGGATGATAACCAAACAGATAAAGGCCTTCGCATCCCAGGGAATTCTCTTGAGTCCATCTGGGCAGGGTCCTTTCGGGGCCATCCCTGTAGAAACTACAGGGATGGCCAGCCTTTCGTCCCGTGGCAGAGAGGCCACCACAACCTCTGAAACTCTGAAACTCAAGAGGATCTGTAGAGCCTAACTTTCCTGTGTTGAAACTGGAAATAAAAATGAGAGGCAATCGCCACTGACCCAGCAGGACTCTTAATGTGCTAAAATGTCAATTTCCTGTGTTGAAACTGGAAATAAAAATGGGAGGCAATCACCACTGACCCAGCAGGACTGTTAACGTGCTAAAATGTCAAGTGAGGGAGTCTGATGCCTGAACATCTCCCTCTGGGGGCAAAATCAGAAGCCTGTTTTCATTACACCTGGCATTTATCCCAGTTAAGGGTTAATTTCAGAATGAAATCAGACAATCATTCTCAATAATGTCAGAATTCTTCTAGGTATAAGGCTTTTCATTGTTGCAATAATTCCAGGCAACATCAGCTTGTCAAATTCTATAAGCTTTATTTATCTACTTGCTTCTTTGTTCTATATGCCCAAGAGTACTGTACTTCAAATATTGCAAACATTCAAAAGTCTGACAACACATTAAAAAAAAGAAGAATCCTTTCTAAGGCTTTTCATTGTTGCAATAATTCCAGGCAACATCAGCTTGTCAAATTCTATAAGCTTTATTTATCTACTTGCTTCTTTGTTCTATATGCCCAAGAGTACTGTACTTCAAATATTGCAAACATTCAAAAGTCTGACAGCACATTAAAAAAAGAAGACTCATTTCTAAAGTATTCAAGTTGTCAACGAGGTCATGAGCACAGTTTTAGCTGCAGTACAGCGGTTTAACCACTGCGCCACGAGGCGCACGAGTATTCAAGTTGTCAGCATTAAAAATATGTGAAAGTAAAATATATTACTTAGGCTTTTAGCATGCTTAGGCACACATGAAAATTATTCTCAGTGCCCACTCAGCCAAGCCAGTATCAATCTATGGAGGAAAATCTGTCTTTTCCTGGTCCGCTCCCACTGTTGTTGCTGCTGCTTCATGATTATTGTTGATACCTAGTGTGTGTGGCATGATGTGTAGACTTGCTGTCTTGATGAGTTGAATCTTACTGTATGTCTCTCTCCCTATACAGTACTTATATTTCTCTCAGATGTCCACACCTCCCCCATCCGTCAACAATCTCTTTTCCAGGGCCTAGTCTTTTCCTGGTCCGCTCCCACTGTTGTTGCTGCTGCTTCATGATTATTGTTGATACCTAGTGTGTGTGGCATGATGTGTAGACTTGCTGTCTTGATGAGTTGAATCTTACTGTATGTCTCTCTCCCTATACAGTACTTATATTTCTCTCAGATGTCCACACCTCCCCCATCGGTCAACAATCTCTTTTCCAGGGCCTGCAAGTTATAGGGGTCTGATGCACTATGGAAATAATTTTAATAAGAATCTCTGTTGTTTTTGCATCTCCTGTAACTCAGAATCAGGCAGGCTGCCTCTATGACGATAAACATTCTTGTTGCAATAAAAATTCACACAGCCTGCAGAACTAAAAGCTTGTAAAAGAAAGGATCTCGTACACCAAGGTGCTATAAAACCAGAATATTGTAGTTACAGAGGGTGCAAATTCCATCTCTGGTCATATTAACACATTGCAACATAAATACATCCTACTTATTTCAATATACTTTCAATTCTCTCCTTTGTTTTACTTCTATGCTGACCTGTCCACCTTGGGGGAAAAAATTATTTTGCAAGGCAAGATTGTCATACGGTGACCTTGCTTCCAAACTTAGCTGGGGAACTGGCTGATTGTTTCACAGCTACTCTTAATAAACTGCTGTTCAAATCTCATTTTTAAAAGCACAATGTACATTTCTAGGGCTACTTTTTCAACAGCCCTCTTAATTGTTGTAATACTCTATGCACACAAAATTGCACATCTTGACAAATCGACACAAACATCTCCGTCAGGTCAGGTCAGCATGGTATCACATTGATAATATAAGCAATGTTCAGAACAATTGTTTTACAGGTACAGATGTGCAATGTGTGGTGTTCGTCTATGCTCATGGCTCCCATTAAGCTGATGACATGCATGGAAAAGTGTATAAATGTATTTTATACAATAAAATTCCAGTTCAGTACCTCCAGTCACAAGCTGCCTATGGCAGTAAGTAAAATGTCTGGGTTGGAACTGTGCCAGAATCTGTTTATATCCAAACTGTTGGAAAAATAAAATACATATTCAGGGCCAGCCTTATTATTAGGCAGAGGGAAACAATTGCCCATGGCATGGACACATTCCACATGCCAAATACTTTCCCCTTATCCAGTCTTATAGAGTTCTCCAGAAGATAAATTTAAAACAAATCCATTCTTTGGAAGACGGATAGACATGGTTCCTTTCAGGGGCAAAGCTGGGAAAATATGTTTTATTTTGTTAAGTTTTGGACTACAACTTCCAGAAGTCCTCACTGCTACTGGCTGAAGGATTCTGGGATTTGGAGTCCTTCCCCCAACATAAAGCTTTTCCAAACCTAATCAGGCCAGACGTCTGCCATGGCCTATATTGGAACAGAGATCACCCTGTTGATCCCCTTGTGCATTCCTCCCCTCATCCCCCCCTTCTCCCTGTGGTTGCCTATACAGTGGACCCTCGAATTACAGACGGCTTGACTTACAGACTTTTCGAGTTACAGACTCAAAAAGGTTAAGAACCACTGAAGTAGAGGGTCCACTGTATATTTGCTCTTTCCACGAGTCCAAATGGCAACAGGAAAAGGAACAGCCGTACAGTAGTTTCCATCTGCTGTTCTGATTATGTCTAGACCAAGACTTGGAGATGTTACTTTGTAGACTACAACTTCCAGAAGCCCCAGCATGCTGGCTAGCCATGACATTTCAGAAATTCGGGGGACTGCAGTCCCCAAAGTAACGGTTCCAAACTCTAGTCCAGATACAGAAACCAAATGAATGGTAAGTGAAGATGACTAAGGGTGCCACCACAACACTACAGTACTTGGAATCTCAGGGATTTACTACATTTTCCCAGCTCTCCGAGTGGGGAATAAAATCCCGGGGCAAGCCATGCTAGATGAGGAGAAAAGTTGATCTTTGCCTGTGGGGTGGTTTAAAAGTCTGGGTAACCTTTTCCAATCTGTCCCAGCTGCCACCAGAGCTCACTGGTTCAGAATGCTGTTTGCACGTGCATTGTGCTCTCTTCCCTCGCTGCCCTGCCTCTGTGACATCACAAGGACTCACTCTCTAGTCTCAGGCTTCAGCCTTGAACTCTTCGGGCATGGAAGACTACAACCAACCGAGTAATCTTGATGGTGACAGTGTCAAGGAATTGCTCCACTGCCAGCAAAAGTCCTCCATGGGGGGTAGGTTGCCGGGGCAAGTCCCAAATTTGGATCTGGCCCCTGGTTAACCATGTGATAGAGAGATCATCTATAATTGTCTAGGGTAGGTTTCTGATTTTTTTTGGGGGGGGGAGGTTCATTAAGCAGAAGGACCATTCCTTTTTCTGAGAAGGAAGCGTTTAGCTTTTGGCAAACCTGGAAGAGTGATTTATAAGGTAGCAATGGCAACAAATGGAACTACGTGAATAGACAGAGGGCGATGGAAGAATGTCAATTATAGCATAACAACTGAATTGGAAATATTAATTTAAAATACCTTCCCTATGGCCTGCAGTACAAAAAGGGATAAAGCTTCCTCACCGCACGTAATACAAACTAGGACCTTGTATCTGATACAGGTGTAGATGGAGTTCTCTGCTCCCAGGTCTGTGCAGGCTTGGAGTTGCTTTAAGATAGAGGTGTAAACCCTGTAAGTCCTGGGGCTTGGTGTGGCCACTGGCCACTCCTTGTGCAGCCCCCAAAGTTGTAGGGACATGTTCCCCCCCCTACCAGTTTACTTTGCAGTCCAGCTAATCAACTAAACTGTAAGGAGTTATGCCATTTGCTAGCTTTTGAGAGTGTTTTTTTTTTGCAGAAAATGCAGTGGAGACTTCTTAGGAATGAAAGGACGCCTGATCTAGAGTGTGACAAACATACACACCAGTGATCCCGGCTCTAAGCAACTATGCCTGGATGAGAGTTACACTCAGTGGTGTGGTAGAGCCAGAGCTTGCCAGATTGCTCTGGGATTTTCTGATTGGGAGGGGCTATGACACTATCCACCATCCCTTCAGACTTCTTTGTTCTCTCTTAGTTTAGCTGCCGCCCTCAGAATAACTAGGAGAGGAAGGATTTTCCCAGGAAATGTATATTGTTGCAGCAAGCTATCCTTGTTGTAATACAAAATATCTGAGGAGAATTTTGCCTTGAATAGACCATCTGACTTTTCTTCCCTCCCAGCATCTGCAGGAGGTCCTGGAGTTGTCAGAAACGACTGAGGAGGAGACCGTCCAAGAGGTCTCCTTGAGGGAGATCGAGGAACCTGGTGCCAAGGAGGTTTTGGATGAAGACCTTGAGGAGGAAGAGGAGGAGGAACCCGAGGAAAAACTTCCCGGTCCCACTCTCTTGACCCCAACGACAGCTTCCCCAACTCAAGATGAGGAGGATGGCTTTACCTATGTGTGTAAGTAGAGAGGAATAACGTTGAGTCCCACTCTACTAGACTGAACAAGCTGGTCCTGTATGGTTTTGGTTGCTAAGCAGAATCCAGCCTGTTTAGCACTTGAATGGGTGGCTGCTAGGGAATACCAGCTGTCTCTAGGTATATAGCTAGCAGAAATCCTGGCTGAAGCCTAGGAGAGCTGTTGCCATTCAGAGTTGCCAGTTCAGAGCTAAGTGGAACAATGGTCTGGCTGAACAAGACATCACCCTATGTTCTAATCTAATTTCCAGATTGCCTCTCTTTTATAAGGCACCTCCAGTGTGGAGGGGGAAGCAGTGACAGCCCCCTTGCTCTTCCTCTCTGTTCTAGCACAGTGTTGGGTGTTACACATAGGATGTCCTGCAGACTCTAATCTAGCCTTCACCACTCAAATAAGATGGGGGATGCCATCCCATCACCGTGAATGAATAAAATGCAGCCGCTAGTGCAGTCCACTTCAGTACGTGGAACAGAATGTGTGTTGTATTGCCATCTCACCTTCTGATTTAGGTGGGAAAAGTTATTGGGCCAGCCCCAATCAATGGTTTCAAGCAGTCCTGCAACCAAAGGGAACCTCCAGGTTCAAAAGCAATTGTGTGCTTTTTATTTCTAGTATTCAGAGTATCAGTGCTGTTATGTATGTAGCCAGTTCAGCACACCGTGGCAAAAAAAAGGAAGGTATTACGTAGCCAACTTTGGGGAATCCAAAGGTTTAAAGAAGTTATATATTCACTCATTTATTTGTACTATTCGTGGGCCACCTTTCTCCTGATGAGGGGACCCAGGTTGCTTCACATGTTAAAAGAAGCAATACTAAAAACAAAAACAAAAACAAAAATTGCAGATTAAAAAGCAATTAAACTGCAATAATAATTAAAAATCCATTAATTAATTAAAAGCATTTAAAACTTTCTAAGTTAGAAAAACATAAGCAGCATCCAGTCAAGGTTGTAAAAGTCATGGTTTTTATAATCTTGAGGGGATCCCTCCTACCTGCAGCAAGGACTCATAACAAGAGGCAGCAAGGGACCCGTAACAGGACAGTGATGGCTGAGTGTGCTTCCTCTCTATGCAACACTATCTTACTACTTACTGCAAGTGCAATCAGAAAGTCTTTGGGAGAGGAAATGGAAGAGAACAGGAGCTCAAGCAGACGGCCATTTGTCCCACTGTTTGGTGTGTTTTAGGGAACAGTTAGTTTGTTCTTTTTTCTGGCAATCAAACAACATACAGTAATCAGTACAGTGAACCAATCTGTCCTCAAAACAGCACTATCTGTACCTTTCTGGGCCCCTGTCAGGTATGGGTAGGTTCACTCTAGTTTGGTCCATTTCCAGTGCTGAGAACGAACCAAGGGAATCGACTAAGAAGTGAGCCTTAAGCTGTTAAGATTCCTTCCACTATCAGTTTCTGGTATCCTGAAGTGGCTTAATGAGTGAGTCATTTCAGGATATCAGCAAAGTGAACACTTCCAGTGCTGGTTGTTGTCGGTTTTTCAGGCTGTTTGGCCGTGTTCCAGAACATGTCCAAACAGCCCAAAAAACCTACAATCACCATTGGATCCCGGCCGTGAAAGCCTTTGAGAATACTTCCCGTGCTCCTTGGCAGAGAGAGGGGAAATGAGATCCCGGGCGTGAAAGCCTTTGAGAATACTTCCTGTGCTCCTTGGCAGAGGGCAGGGGGAATGGTTTTGCTTTTGTTTTACTCTGCTAGACCATCACTGATATAATTTCAGCTGCCAGCAGTTTGTTGACTGGCACTTCAGACAAGAGGTTTTAAAAAAACCAAACTAATCTAAGTGATGAAGTGCATCAGTGATGGTCTACCAGGGTCAAAATGATAACGATAAGAATTTCATTTCCCTGCTCTTCTGCTGAGGGGCAGGGGTAGCATTCAGTTTGCCAACACAGTACTGTATCTTGAAGTTGCATGTTTATTAAGCCACTGGGCTTGTCAGCCATGGAAGGCAGCCCATCTAGGAGAAGGAAAACTCCGATTTCAAACCTCCACTGCCTTGTGGCTATATTCACTCATGGAAAAGGCGTCAGGAGTTAACCTCGAGGCAAAATCTGGAGCTGGAGTCCCGAAGGCAGCATGTGTCGTTCTGCCAACTCCTGCGACATTGCTGGAACCAGTTGTATTGGCTCTTGCCTTTCCATTGGACCATTTCAGCAATGTGGAGAGGGGGGGATCTGCTGTTTGGGTAACAGCCTATCCTCCATATTACCTTACCCGGGCTTCATGCTCTGGAGGGGACACACCTCAATTCAGAGCATGTTACCATAGTCTCTCGAGACTGAAGGATGCCTATGCTATGCATGATATCAGAAATCAACAGCAGAGGGAGCTAGACTAAATGGGGTCATTTGAGGTCTGTATGTTGCTTGGATGTAAGGATTGCACCAAATGGCATGTCGCACCTCCACTCAATCTCAAACGACCCTATTTAGACTACACCAGCCTGCTCCAAAAGTGCCAGTGTAGATGAGCCCTATCCTCATCATTAAACAAGTGTACTCCACACTGCAAAATGGGAACATTAAACAAGTGCACTCCACACTCCAGAATTTTGTTGCAGGTCCTGCTGGTTTCCTCTCTTTCACATCTTTTATGTGCCAAGGCAGCAACACAACACCGAAGAAAGAAATATAGATAGTTGGGGGAGGCAAACTATGGAATTAGCACAGTGCACAAAATCTTTAGAGGGGAAAAATGAGGATGAATCCAGCAAACTGCTGAATATGTGTAATGGGATGCCATCTGATTGTGGAGGGAAGCAATGAAAAACTGTGAATTCAAAGGAAATTGAATGGCATGGCTAGAATCCAGAGGAGCAGCTCTTCACACTGTAACATTTTGTTACAGTTCTAATTTGTGCTGCTGATTGCCAGTTGCCAGCAAGCATAAGGTTGATCTGTGGCTTTTCTCTCATGCTTATTGGATTCTCACAAGCACCTCCTTTGCCTCTGGAGGACTAGATAGGACTTGGTCAGATCCAGCATGATTGCTTTTTATATCTTTTTATCCTTGGTAACTTGTGGAACTCTGTAGAGGGTTTTGAATCTATTTGTTCATTTGCTTGTTTGTTTCGATGGAAGCCCTGTACAGAAACATTGCATTTGTTCCGTAAAGATCCGAGTTTGAATCTCAGCTCAGCCATGAGCCGATTTGAGAATTGCTCCTGTGTCCTCCCTCAGCAGCCGTTCCGGGAAGCGAAATGAATCCAGTTTCTTGAGCCTTCCCTCTCTAGCTTTTTATTTTTATTTTTTGATCCTGGGCTTCCAAATGATAAATCTTCTGCTCTTCTCCGAAGCCACTGCTCTCTCTCTTTTGCCCATTGTCCTCAGGCGCAGGAGCCAATTACATCAAACTCAAATCAATTCCTAGCATAAATCCTGATTTCTTCGGTCTTGGCTGGAAGCAACAGTAAAGCTACCCACCAGTGACTTCCTTCCGCTTTATAAAAACCTCCGCTTTTGGCTTTTAAGAAAAAGAGGAACTGGGAAGTGCAAACCAAATCGTTTCACTCCAGTGCCAGAAATGCCCCTAGTTCAAAATCTACAATGGTAATCAAGTGAGCAAGTCTGCCCCCCTTTACATCCCAGGGGATCCAATGTTGAAAAGAAATGCTAACAACATCACAATTGCTTTTTAAGATCACCCAAAAGATCCATCTGGTCTAGTGCTTAGTTGTTTTCCCCCCCCTTCCTGGTAAGATGCCTTTGGGAGATAAAAAGAAAAGAATGCAAGACATTCATTCCCTGGGTGTTTGTTCTCAGTGTCTGGTAATTAGAGGTACATGTGGGAGCAGCACCAAAATAGTGTAGTGGGTTCCAGACACCCCAAGCTGTCAACGTTCTGTGACCAGTGAACATGCTCAGATCTCACCAGCTATTTTTAGATGTATCACCTCCAGTTAGTTCCCTGCCCCCCTGCCTGAGATTTTTTTGTAATACTGCTGAGCTTCATGGTTCCCCCCCCCCATGTCTGCTGAATCAGAGCTAGGGAAAAGGCACTTCTTAGGCTGACAGCTTGTAAAATTCCCCAGTCAGCACAGGCACTGGAGGCTTCTGGGATCTGTAGTTTAAAAAAAGCAATATTTCCAAGCTTTGCTGCCAATAACCCCTTCTTTCCAGGATGGGATGGTGGCATTTTGGCTACATACATTTATGTTGGCTGAGGATGATCATCGTTGCAATCCAACACCTCTGGAGGATACCAGGCTACTGCTGTCAGGCAAGCCGGTCCCAAAAGGGCTAAGGTCTGTACTCTCTCTCTCTCTGTTGATACAGTTCACTCAATTATTTCAGAGAATCCAGACCACGATCCTCTTAGACTGTTACACTTCTCTCTCTCTCTCTCTCTCTCTCTCTGGCTGTGCTCAATATAGGCAATAAACACAGCTTGGAAAGTTACTTTTCAAAAAGTAATTCATTCCAGTTATTGTTACAGAATTGGAAAGTAACTTGTTGTCATTACTCATTAAACTGCTGAAAAGTAAACCAGTACATTACTAATGATTCAGCTCACTAGCTTTTTTGTTACTTCTGAGGGGGGGGGGAAATGAGGATTGTGAAGGAAATGCCATAAAACTTAGGAAATTCATGTCCCGGTACCCTTAAAATACTTTTAAAAGTAAGTTTTAAAGGTAATAGGAAAACAGTGTTAGGGCACCTCCAGAAAAAGAGAATAATAAACCACTTCTGGATACTCTCTACCTGGAAAACCCTGAAAAGGGTTAACATAAGTCGGAATTGACTTGGCGACAGATGATGATGATTCATTGTTTGAGTGCTGTTTGAAAGCTTCTGACTGAGAAGCTTTTGCCAGACACAAATTTCAGTGGAAGACACTATAACACTAAACTCAGCCCCTTGGAACACAGTGAATGAAAATAATAATAATAATAAACCCTGTCTTCAGGAACTACCAAAAGCACAGGAAGTCACTAATTTTCTCATTGTGCTAACTGAAAAAAAAAG